CCGCACCACGAATGGACCTACGAGGAGCAGTTCAAGCAGGTAAGGAGGCATCGCTGCCCGGGCGCCGGCTGCTCCCGGCAGGCATCCCCGGTGTCCCCCCAAACTCGCGTTCAGCTTTCCCTGAATGGACAATCCTTATGCCCCCCACTGCTCCCAAACCCTCTCTGTATCCCACCCCGAAATGAGCAACACCACGCCCCAGCCCAGATCCACCCTGAGTAGGCATCCCCCATATCCCCATTAACCCCAGACATTATTGCGATCCCACCCTAAATGAAACCCCACCACTACTGCCCCCAAACCTCATCCTCCCCTAAATGGGTACCCCCTGAATGCTCCTCACGTCCCCTATCCCTAAACCCTGTCCCGTCCTATAGGCATTGTCATCATCCTGTCTGCTCCCCATCTCCCTGCTACCAAACCCCATTTCAGCCCTGCTTCATGACCCCACCTCCCTCCTCGGTGTCCCCTGTGCCTGTCCCCAGGCCCTGCATCAAGATAGGGTGTCCAGGCATCTCCCTGTGCCCACCCTGATCTGTGTTCCATCCTGATGCCTTCCATAATGGGTAAAACAGGCTGACCCCTGTCTACAGGGGATTTACAGAGATGAAAAAGGGCAGGGGCTCTGGTGTGCGGTCACCCCAAGGAGCTGGCAAACCATGGAGTAGAGTTCTTGTGTCTCTGCAAGGGCCAGGGTGTGTTACAGATGAAGGAAGTAGCACATACACCCTGTCCCCTCATTCCTGGTGGGTGTAGGAGAGACCCTTCTGCTGCTGAGGACACGGGGAAAGGGCATCAGGAGCTCGTGTAAAGGATGGAGGACAAGTCCTCCTGTATTTAATGCGTGTGGATCTTGTCTGAGCCGTTGTTGTGCAAGCTCTGGTTTGCACACAGAGGGTGCCTCTGCATGCAGGGGTGTGGGCACGGAGTGCGCAGCGCCAGGGCAGGTTTGTGCTCTCAGCTTCCTTGTGGGGGAGAGAGGCACAGGGGATGGCAGGGAAGACGTGGTGAGGGGGTAGAACACACAGAGATGTCCCTATAGAGCTGTTGTGTGGCTTTTTAGAACGGTACTGCTCAGGGACAGGAGGATGAGAGCACTTTGGTCTCATCCAGTTCTGGCAGGAGAGCAAGGGAACAGCAGCAGGGACCCAACCTTTGGCTGCTGTGGGGGTGTGCTGCCGCCTTTTCTGTTTCAAATTGCCCAACACCTTGTTATTTTGGGGGGCCGGGGCTCATCCCCTGGCTACAAGGCAGCCGGTAGAGGTGCAGACAGGGCACGGGCAGCGCATTCCCCCCGGCTGTGCCCAGGGATGTTGCCAGAGCCTGGCGCTGCCTTGGAGCAGCCCGGGGTGGGTGATCTGCACGGACCAAACAGCTCGTCCGGGAAGTGTTACATTACACCCCGCTGCACAGAAAAAGGCTGACTGTCCGGTTCCCGGGGTCAGCCGGGAGGTGGGAAGCAGCTCCTCCCTCCCAGGGAGGCTAGGAAAGCATCCCCGGCATTTCTCGTCCTTCAACCTCCCGCCCTGCCCCTGTCTGGGGCTGCCCAGCTCCTTGTGCAGGGCAGGAATGCTGTGAACAGTGGGAGAGGGGTGACAGGAGAGGTTGGGGTGCGGGATAAATCCTGCCACAGCTTCCCACGGTGAGAGCTGGCTCGTTCCTTGTTTACTCTTCTTCGGTTTTTTCAACCCTGATTGGAAAAGTGATGGACCCCTCATCCGGAGACCCTCACCTGTGTTTCCCACCTTGTGGCGTGTCCCAGACAGCCCAGGGAACAACGGGATGTCCTTCTGTGGTTTGGAGCAGGCTGTGGTGCCAGCTGGCTTTGGGGTCTGCAGGGTGGCTGTCACTGCTGTCCGTCCCCTGGGATCATGCAGGAGGGGACATTCCCCCGCCAGGGAGGGACATGTCCCTGCTGGGTCCTCCACAGCTGCAGGGCTGTGCCTCACCCAGCCTGGGGAACAGGTTCTCCACTCTCTGCAGGGACTCAGCAGGGAGGGTGGCTGTGCTTCAGCTTTCGGAGGTTTCCCAGGGGTTGGGCTGTGATGCTGTGGGGGAGGTGAGGGGGCAACGTGTGTCTGTCTGCTGGAAAGCTCTGGGGCAGTGGCAGTGTGGTTGGGAGGGTCCTGGAGCTGGAGAGAGACCCTTGGAGTAGCCAGAACTGTATTTCCCACCAGGACTCCTTGCTTGAAACTGCCCAAACCATCATGCTGTCACCCTGGGTGGGATTCAGGGTTTGTCCCTGCTCTCATCATCCTGGGTGGGGGCACAGCTAAGTGAAGAGAGACCACCACATCCAGGCTGTTTGGCAGAAAGTGGGCAGAGAGAGACTTCCCCATCTCTCTGCAGTGGGGATGATGCCTTGATGGGAATAGGGTGGGAGGTTCGTGCAGGACCAGCCCGGGAAGCATTTCCACACAGTGCAGTGGTGCTAAAAATGGGAGCAGAGGACGAGGTGGTTGTGGCAAAACCCACTGGGTTAACAGGCAAATGCTGCTTTGCACACAGGAGCTTTTAGGGGAAATATCCCACATGTATGCTGTAGTTTTATGTGCTTCCTGAGGTGCTGGTTGGGGAGGGGGGGTTGGTGGGACCTTTGGTCTGACTGGGAGCGCTGCTGCAGTGTTAGGAGGCTGAGAGACCCCCGCACCCCTGCCTCTTGCATCAGCCCCCGGCGCCGGTTTATGTACCTTGATAAGGACGCATGGGTAGAGACCTGGGCAAAGGTCTGGGAGGTCTCCACGCCCAGGGCTGTCAGGCAGACCCAGCCCTGAGGGGGGGGTACCAAGTGGGGTGTGATTATGCATTAGCCATGAACCCCAGCTTCCCTAAGGGCTGGGATGCCTCCAGGTTTTAATTCTGCGATGCTGCATTATCTCTGACTTGGAGGTCACGGGTAAGAGCCTGGCATTTCTGGTGCCAAGCTCAGATCCATGAATTCACCTTTCCCCCTAGAGAAACCATGTGTATAGACAGGGATGGGTGCGCTGGTTTCCTCCAGTGATAAAAGTACAGGGCCAGAACCTGGGGCTTTCTTCTCAATTCCCTGGGGTGGGAGGGACTCAAACATCTGGGCTCTGCATCCAGCTCTCTGTTAGCAGAGTGTTTGCTGGCAGGAGATGCCCTCCCTGCCAGGGCCCCTCTGGCATGTTCACACCCATCTGTGACTGGGGGGATCAGGATCCTCTGAAGCTCCTTCCTCCCTTCCCAGGAGCAGCTGCAGGAGGAGGTGAGCCCCAGCCCGTCCTTTAGGAACTCCAGGGTGTCTGGTAGCCTCAGTGGTTAATTTGGGGGTGGCTGGTTTTGCCAGCAGCTCTTTGCCATTATCCTCAGCCTAACCCTGGAGTGGCTGTTCCTCCTGCCTTGCCTGTCCCTGATGCCAGGAGTTGCCTCTTGCACCCACCCAACCTGTCCTTAACATGCATTTAGGGAGGGCTTGCCAGCTGTGATGTGTGCACTCACATCTCAGAGCATGGAGGTGTGTGTGCCCCTGTAGACAAACACCTCCTCGTGACACAGAGGATCATCCCAAATTGAGTGGTGTGCACCCTCCTACCTCTATCCCTATTGCTTTCTCATGTGGTGTTGTCCCTGGGGATGGAGGAAACAGAGTCAGGAATGTTCCGGGAATGGAGGTGGCTGAAGAGGGGGACTCTGAGGAGAGGGTAGTGGTCTCCATGCCACAGTGCCCTCCTCACTGTCAGTGCATCTTCAACCTAAGGGCAGGACCAAGGGCTCCTAGGGCTAAATTAGAGGGTCCTGGTTAATCTGCAGAGTCACCGAGGGAGAAGTGGACACATTGCCCCATCCTTGTCTGCCTGGAGGCTTTTCTCCAGCAAACCTGTGAGCAGAGCTGTGCCCCTGATCTGGGACCACCTGCAGCGGGGAGGTGGCATCAGCAGCAAGGGTCAGTGTGCCAATCCCTGGAGCTCCAAAAGCTCTGGCAACCCTGCAGCAGTGGAGGGCGCAGGACAGGACAGGACAGGGCGGCTGCTGGGGTGTGGCTGGAAGGGCAGACAGAGATGTTCTGGGGGTTTGTGTGCCCACAGACCAACCTGAGTGTGTGCATCTGTATAAGTGACATGTAAGTGTGGAGGTGCGTGTGTGTGTGTGTGTGTGTGTGTGTATTTGGAGCCACCTGAGTGCCCCTGTGTGTAGTGATCCTTGCGAGGCCCTGTGTGTCTTATGGATGCTCAGGAGCATGCAGAGTGTGTGAAAACCCATGGAAGTGCTGGAATGTGTTTATAGGTCCTTATGAGCACACAGGTGTGCATGGATCCGTATGGCTGTGGTTGTGTGTGTGTGTGTGTGTGTGCCCACACGAGTCTGAACACACCCATGTACAGGCACACGTGGGGTGTCCCAGTGTTTAGGCATCTGCATGCCTGTACCAGTGACACAATCTTGGAATTACATGGACCTTGAGCCAGGGTTTGAGGGCTAAGCCCCCTCCAAGGCTGCCTCTTGCCCAGCCCACAGTGCTGAGCAGTGGTGCTGGTGCCAGGCACCTGCTCCCATTGCTGCCCCCAGGGCACTTCCTGGCCCCACTGGAGCCTGTGGGATGCTCAGAGCTTCAGAAGCTGCCACAGTACTGTCTTCCAGACGAGGGTCCAAAGGGTTTGGGAATGGGGCTCCAAAGAGGAGGTGTGAAAACTAGTAGATGGTGTGAGAATACCCTCACTGTGGAGGGGAGAGGAGCACTATCAGGAGCTCACACTTCCAGCTCCCTCCCCAGCTGCCTCCCTGAAAGCAGATGCCAGCTGAGTCTTTGGGGAGGATGCACCCCCTCATCAACTTGGGCCTCCAATAATCCACTAATTGGGTTAATAATGGAGGTAAATCTCCTGGGCTGCCAGCCAGCTGGGCAGGTCTGCAGCAGGGAGATTGGATCTCAGGTGGTGGAGTCTGGCCTCAAGGGGATGGATGGATGGATGGATGGATGGATGGATGGATGGATGGATGGATGGATGGATGGATGGATGGATGGATGAATGGATGTGCACAAGGATTGTGTGTGTGTAGGGATGCATAAGCAGGGT